GCTCTTCACCATTTCTTCTGAGGGATTACTTTCTAGAGCCTCACTGTTCTAGTTTGAACTACTTTGTAGCTCGATTTAAATGTTTAGCATCCTTGCAAAGTTACTTGAGAAGGGGCTGATACCAGTAAAGAGTATTTCTGTAAAAGCATGAACTCCCCGTGGTGACTTTGTTTTAAGCAGGGCCTACCCGTGATCCAGAACTAGTGCTGCTCACCGCGCCGGTGGTCATGGAAGGTAAGGACCATGGGTGAAACCTCGGTGGTCTTCCCTTCTTCTTCTGTATGTCAGCATCCACCAGGTCACTGTCACCAGCCGTCTGTGACAGCCGTTTGAGTTCAGTCACAGACCTCTGCCTGTGGTTTGATCTGCTCAAGTAAAGCTTGAGGAATGCTGGTGTGGGCTCCTCTCGTGTTCATCTTCCTTGGGGAGAAGGGCCCTCGGCCGCCCTGGCTACCCTCCCAGCATCCTCCATCAGCGCTGCGCTCAGTGAGAAGAAGGAAGGAGCCAGGAGTGAGACTTCACGCTCGCGTGTTCCTCTTGCTGATGTCGGAGTGCTGGGGGGTGTTGATCACCTCAGTGAAGGGGGCGCTTGGGTCTGAGGGGAACGCAGGGGCCTCCACGGGCTCAGCCGCCTTCTCTTTTCTCTAGTTGCACTATACCTGTTCTTGCTGCAGTCTGGAGATAATACTTAAGACCTCCCTGGGGTCATGATCCGTAGTCTTGGCAAGTCTTGCCTCATCTATGGAGCTCGACTGACTGTCTGTGGAGAAATGTGACCGTTGTCTGATGTCCGCAGTTCATTTCCCCTAGGTTGTTTCTTTCCTCAGATTGTGTTACTCTGAACCATTTTGTTTTTTATTTACTGAAGTACTGTACTTGGCTATTTGCAGTGTTTTCAAAACCAAATGTTTCTTTTTTTGGGTTTTTAATCTCCAATACTTGGTGCAATAGAAGCTGCAAAGATGTGCCACTTTATCTACGAAATGGCATTTTGTATACCAATAAATTCTAGTTTAAAGACAAAGCTTCAAGTTGTTTCTGTCACTTTTCTGACCACGTTTGAGTGCACAAGTCAGAGAGCATGTGGGGAAATGACCTTTTTGGAGATGTTCGCATGGAAGATGTGTGTGTTCTTCTGGTGCGCAGCCGTCTGAGATCTCACTGAGCTTAAACAGCTGATTGTAGCTTCCGTTCAGGTGAGTCCGGCCGCCACACCCCCTGGCAGGGCCATCGTTACGATTGTGGCTTGATATCTAAGAACGTCTCTGATGATGGCTAAATACAGAGCAGCTGTCTGTTGGCCGCCACCTTGGGGTTTCTCTTGAACTCTGAGGGTTGGTTTGACCCCGTCCCAGGAAGAGCCACCTCCTCCCGACACACATGGGCGGCAGTGACTGCACGACTCACCTGGAGGAGGTCCTCGGGGTCCCTCAACGCACGCGCCAGGGCTCCAGTCAGTCCCTGGGGCAGGATTGGTCTTACTGGCCTCGCCGTGTCCTCGTGACTGTGGCCTTGAGGTTTCTGCTCTCTCTTGTTCTCCGTTTGTGCTTATCAAGCAGCCTTTGAGTTGGCTCCGCAGCGCCATCCAGCACCACCCCGGATGAGAGAGGAATTCTCCAGCTACCGGCAAGGCCGTTCTCTCTCTGTCACTGGCCTTGTGTGATTTTTTATTTTTGCCTCCTTCTATGACTGAGAGACGACTGGGTGCACAGACACTCCAGTTCTTGAGCCCACGAGGCCCAGATTCTGGACCCTGTTAACCCAACTGAGACTCTGAGAGCCTAGGACCAGAGGACCAGAGGACCAGAGGACCAGAGGGCTGTCCCGGTTTAAGTGTCCCCATCCCCAGCTGGAAAACTCACGGCCTCCTTCATCCCATCTGCACGGTGATTCAGCGGAGGCCGCGGCCGCCTACTGGGTGGGGGGTGTTCTGGGGCTTCCCTCCTGGGTCTTGGTGACCCATGAGATCAGATGAGTCTAAGGACAGCAGCGTCCTCAGGCCAGGCAGGGAATAATTAGAGACCGCACTTAATTATTTACATTTTCCTCCAGGCTGCAGCCTAGCTTAGTCTGGGTGAGTGACTGAAGACTGAGGTAGCATAAGGGGAAAAGTGGCTGTTCTGTGTCTCTCTTCGGTAACTGCTCATGGTTGCCTAGGAGAAAACAGGGTTGAAAACCCATGTTTATACAGTTTGTCAGACACCCTACAAGCCCTCCCCCAGTGCACAGAAAGTGTATGGCAGCCTTGAGATACAACCAAAATTTGATACAAAAATGCTCTGCTCCAGTATGATTTTGGCTGGACTGCTGGACAGAACAGCCACTCTCAGACCATAGTGACGCAGCGATTTAGAGCTATTTTGGTTGAATAGGATCGAGACCCATCCTACCAATTCATAGATTCTGGCTTGGCAGAAGGAAAAATTTCCCACCTTGGAGAAACCTGTCTTTATCTCCCTATGGTAGAGAGACTTAGATATCTCCAAATGTTCAGGTTTTCAATTTACTCACCAATCCAAACATCCGAGAATCCATTCATCATTTACTGAATGCGTTCTGTGTAAGAGTCTTTACTTCTGGGCATTGAATCAGACATGGACTCTGTCCTAGAAAAACCGTTCAGTCCAGCAGTGACAGCGGCCATGTAACCATGATCCAAGAGAACACAGGCCATTGAAGGAGGTACCGATAGGAGGGGCTGTGAGTTCAGAAGGGAAATCAAGGAAGGCTGGGTGGAGGAAGTGACATTTGAACAAGGCATGAAAGGGGAGACAGGAGGAGGAAATAGGGAGCTAAGGTATTTGGGCCTGCAGGGCCAGCATAAACAAAAAAACCCCAGAGTGGGGTAGTGGGATGTCCCACGTGTTTAGGACAGTTTATCAAGGGTATATATTAGTTTGCAGAAAGCTAGGAACTCCTTTTTTCAAACACTTGCCATATGCTTTTTGCTTCTGGAAGAATAATGCTGTGCTTGCTGAATGAATTCCGAAGATGAGATGTGCCTGGTCCCTCATGACTGCATCCTACGGTGTCACGAGTCGGCCTGTGTGTGCGTTTTGACCTTGGAACACATCCCCGGTAGCAGCCCTGCAGGAAGAGTGCTGCACAGCGTCTCTCTGGCCAGTTTTGCCTCATTGCCTGCGTGGGACCGCTGTTCAGGGTACTGAAAGGTAATGATTTACACTTGTCCATTCAAGATAAATGAGCACTCAGAGCAGTGAGCCAGGGGGGCTATCAAATATATTAGTACAGTATTTATCACGTGTATGATGCCCGTCCCCTAAAATAATTGTAATTATCGCGTATCCGTGGATTCAGTTGAACAGATAGCATCCACTTAATGAATTCAACAGGGCAGACAAAAACTCAAAGCAACCTAGCCAGGCCCTTTGAATTCATTGTCTCATTTAAACCTTAAAACCACTCCACGAGGCTGATGGTCCCACCCCCCATCTTACACATGGTGGAATAAGTAATGGGTCCAAGATCACAGATTTGAATCTGGGACAGTCTGCCCCACCATCTAGGAACCCAAAACAACCTAAATACTGCAGTTAGATTTTCCTGGGAAGGTACAAACATTGCTGGCCATTCAGAGGAGGGCGAAGTTTTCTCCAAGGGAAAAAGCATCTTGGAAAAGGTGGCATTTGAGATGTACCTTAAAGCACGTGGACGTTAACGTGATGAGGAGCCTGTGAGGAAGGCTTCTAGACTGAAGGAAGCTATTGCACAGAGGGGTAGAGGCAGGTGGATGTGTTCTGGCAGCGGTGAGGAGCATAGGGAAATATATATGGCTGGATGAAGGAGGCTGGGAAAGCAGATGATACCAGGCTTGAATGTCAGCGGTTGCTGGATGATGGGGAGCCACTGATGGGTCGGGGGCAGAAGAATGACGTAACTGGAAGTCAAACTATGGGAAGGTGAAGCTGGCTCTGGTGGACAGGATGGAGAATAGGGGGCTGAAAAACTTTTGGTCCTGACAGCCCGATCTTAGCTCTATTATAACACTTCCTGGTGTGCAGTAACTGGTGTCTGGCTGCAGACTGACCACATCAGGTTTGTCTCTATCTCCAGCATTCAGCAAGGGGCCAGGAGCATAGTTTGTATAAAAGTGTATTGAAGGAAAGAATGAAATTTAATACAGTATTCAGTTCTCTCCCAGTGACACTGCCAACAACCCCAAAGGAGCAGACAAATGTCTGTGAAATCATAATTGGACTCAAGTTAACTTGGGAATTCCAATGTGACTTGGCTTCTAATCACTTATTCAGCAAGTTATTTAATTGAACACTTGGTTAAAAGCTTTTCTTAGGGGCTAAGTGGGAACAAAAGCAAAAACCATCCAAATCCTGTCATCCAAACTGGAGAGGCCAGCTATGAAACATTCAGGTAAACAAAGTCCCTTCTCCAGCCTTGATTTAGTCCCCCTGCCGCATTCATTTCATTCATTCACTCATTGTTTCATTCATTCAATGAATTAATAAACAAATCATTTAGAACAGTGCCTGGGGAATGCCAAAGGCTTAATAAATGTTAGCTACTATTGTTATGAAGATTATCATTCATTCATTTACAGGACGCTTGTGTGCTAGGCGTTATTTTGTATAAATTCACACATGCCAGATTAGTAAAACCTTGCTACAACCAACCTGCCAGGAAAATGTCATTGTTCCATTTGACAAATGCAGAAACTGGGGCTGTGGCCATTTTGCAGCACTTTTTGGATTGTAATGTGCACACAAATCCCCTGGGGGTCTTTTAAACCAGCAGGTCTGGGAGCAGGTCTAAGAGTCTGCATTTCTAACGAGCTCCCTGAGCAGTAAGGTCTAGATCGGATGCACTTCTACTAACTGGCAGAGCATGGAGCTCTACCGGGAACCTCCGACAGCAAGGTCAAGGTTTTCCTTCCTTTTTTTCAGTTCTTTCCACCAAGTCTGCAGATGGAAATCAAGTGTGTATCCTACAGACACACACTCTGTATCAGGATTTAGACAGACTCATTCATTCACCCAACATTTATTGATGCCTGGGAAAACAGACTGCACCAGGGCTTGATCTTAAAGTTCTGATTTTCACCCTGTCAGGTGGTTAAACAGCTGTAACATCGCCGGGTACTCAGTCCATCGCTGCCTTAAATCCATCACGCCCAGAACATAGCCTCTCCCCATCTCTCCCAAGTCAGTTACTTCTTCCTGTATTTCTTATCAGTGTAGTGGCACCATCACTCTAAGATGTTTGTAAGGACTTATTGATTATTTCTCAGCATATTTGTTACTGAAAATGGGAGGGGACAGATTTCACTAGCCCAGAAACACACTTTGTCCCCCATGAAGGGAAATCCAGGTTTAAGCCAGATTTGTTTCCTCCTTGTAGCTGAACAAAATAGACACCAGAGGGCGCCTCAGGACTACTGTTCCCAACAAACACCCTCTTCCCTGCAGACCCGCACATGCTTTAAGAACTGGTCTCCCGGTGCCTCTTCACGGAGGGTTTGTCAGTCACAGCAGCCAAGCATGAACATCTGTTCTCTCCTGTTTTTTGTTTTTGTTTTTTTTCCCTAACACAGAAATTCACCGTTTAAAGTTTATGATGATCATCCTTTTGACTGCCTCAGGCTCTTTCCTGCCCTCAAAGTCCTGAATGTTGTACACACACCATGAAAAGGACAAAAGGAGTGGACATTTATTACCCGTCTGCTGTGAACTTCACCTTTGTGATGCTTTTTTACACGCTTTATCTCATTGAATAGGCTCATCCCAATCCTGGAAGATTTTTATCAGCATAGTACGGATACTGGAGATATTATATCTATATTTAGAAGGAGAATCTGCTGAAATACACTGCTTCTAGGGGAGGCTGCATTCCATTTGATGGGAATCCTTTGGTGCATTAAACTGGCTCCAGAGTTGGCCCCAGGATGCTGGATGCTGACATCTTTCCTCTTCCCCTCCCTGTATCAGGAGCCTGACCTGGCCCGGGCATCCTTACGGCTGAACTTCCCTGGGTACTCTGGGGTGTCTGAGATGACAACCAGAGGGGCAGAGGGTCAGCGGCTGAGATTGACTCACGAAGAAATGAAGGCACCCTGGCTCGGGAGTGAGGACACCCTCTTAGGCAGAACTTCCCCTCTCTGAATCCCCAGAAGCCCCTCTGTCAAAGGCGGGATTTGAATAAGATGATTCGAGAGCTTCTTCTTACTCTTAGCCAGTATTCTGATGGGAGGGATTTGAAGCCTGATAACATAGTGGGGGCAATATTTTTAGGCTGATATTTCACATGCCTCTCAGATTACGCCATACATCCAGAAATGTTCCTTCCAGAGACTGCCATTGTTGTCTTGGATAAGACTGTAGAATGTTAGAAAAAGAGAATCCCCAAAACTTACTGCAATGGGAAATTAAAAGAGCAGAAGTTGGAATTGTGTGTGGGGGCCATCCAGTCAGACCCATGCTGTGCCCCAGTGCTTAGCACGTTTTTGGCACTTGGTAGGGGCTCAAAACACAAATGAAT